CTCCCCCTCCCCCAGCAAAACACCTGTATGTGGTGGCGTGTCATCATTACCTGGAGTGGAGGGAGGGGGAAGGTTGTAGGGCGAGGCCTGTGGACCAGCGTCCCAGCTCATCATGGTGGGGAGCTGCATGCTGGAGGGAGACATGGCCTTCATCCAGTTGTTCTGGCACGACTCCGGGTTGCCTGGACGATGCGAGATACAAATAGGTAAAGATAAAAACAGTTTAGAAAGATCACTAAAATAAAAAATCAATTAAAACTTTAAAAAATAGAACAAAAGAAGGAAAGACAACGATAATAGATATTTGATAGGAAAGTGTGCGTGAGTGTGTGTGTGTGAGTGTGTGTGTGTGAGAGTTTTTTCATTCACTCAACGTGTATGTCTTGAGTGTGCATGTGTATAATGTGGATTGAACAACAGTGATGAACTAAAAAAAAAATAAAAAAATAGGAAACAAAAATTTTATTAATTTTTTAAAAGTCACATATGATACCCTGATCTGGTGCTGATATTTGTATGTTACGTAAATGATGTATTAACATAATAGTGAATGTTTTGCCACAGGTAAACCAAACCTACAAAAACAAAAATTGTCTTGAGCTAGAAATTTGATCATGATGATGATGACGGTGAAGACGACTAATTAAACACGACAACTCTTCTTACCGCTATCCTCTTCCTTGACCATCGACTTGACCGGCACAGGCTTCCAACTGGCTGTCTGGTTGATGGTCACCTCCTCAAACTGCTGGTTGGTCATGTTGGTCAGGATGCCCCAGATGTACTGGTCAATCTCCAGACCCTCCAACAAGGCCGATTTACTGAAAGGTGGGGGTGGAGGAGAAAAACACTTTTTAGAAAAATGTTAAGTGTGTTCGATATTGCTGTTTAGGTCATGAAGAGGCAGGCCAGAGGTGCACCCCCAAAAAAAGCAGTTCAACAACAAAGCTGATTTACAAAGATGATCAGAAGCTTATACGACTTAAATAGATGATACGATTTTTTTTAAAATCACCGCTTAATGCTTATATGTCTCTCTCTCTCTCTCTCTGAATATATATCAATAAATATCAATAACTCTCTCTCTCTCTCTATCTATCTATCTATCTATCTATATATATATATATATATATATCCCAACAGATAACAAATCACTAAAAATGCACCTAAAATAAGTTATGATAGCCATGACAAAAAAAACCCCATTAACATAGCATTTATTATCAAGATTATAAAAAGGTCTCAAGGCATCTTCCATTGCTTTTGGCTAATCAGTAAATGTATCATCCATTATTAATGCTTTTAAGACAAAAACGCTTTAAATGATACCGACCAATAGAAAACAAGTTACAAAGAGGTCAAAAAGAACAAAACTGATCACACGTAAACTAAACGGCTCAAAAGATAAAAAGAAAAACAAAGTAAAAATGTAAAATCATGATATTAAGTGCTTTTAAATTATCCCAAATTTAGTCAATTATGAATTACATACTTGCAGACAGGGCATTTCCACAAGCCTTTGTCACAGTTGAGTTGCAAGTAAGACTGCAGGTCAAAGCACTGTGGGGAAAAAAAAAAAAATTCAGGTTCAGATTTAAACAATTTGATAAGATTAAAGCTGAATGAACTCATTTTTCTCATATCTCTCCTCTTCCTCTCCAGAACATGAAAAATTGTGGCCGTTATAAACAGAAAAAGAAGACAGAATCATCTGGAGTTTTTCAACAAGGGTCACAATCTTCCCCCTCCCCTAAGTATCATAATTCAAGAGAAGTCCCCCTCTGCGGGCTCAGCTAAAAATAGAAATCTTTGTCACTGTCACCCCTCACTTCTTCCCCCCACCCAAACCTCACTCCAGACGCCATCTGGTACATGCAAATCTGCAACTGTGGGTCAACAAACGACACAGTATACATCTCCTTCTCTGACAGGAAAACTGCTGCTACAAGCATTTTCCTCCCCGTTAAAAGTTAGAAGTGATAAGAAATTATGCCGACTCTGAGAAAACGGACAAGATGGTGAAGCCATAAATACTCTGGTTTATTTGAGTAATTACACACCCGTTTATTCCACCTCTCTTTCTCGTCGTCCTATCTGGGTACTTAGTGTTTAAGGGTCGTGTTATCAAGGCCGGCGAGGTGCTAATGAATCACTCAGCCAACACGGCCTCAGACCATGGGGACAGCCAGTGATAACATGACACTTCAGCAACCCATTCATAAACTGCACTCCTAGAGGTACTTAACAGATCCTTAAGCACTACACACACGCACACTTAACTGCTGCACACGCACACTGCCTGTATGCACACACACTCACTTTATAACCAGTGCACACACACAAAACTTTATCACAACTGTACACACATAACATACATAAACATAATGTGCACATGCACTCAAATACCACTGCACGCATACATAAACACAAAACACATGCTTAACCGCCACTACACAAACATTTGCACTAACACACGCTTCACCACTGCACCCAAAAAAGCACAAACACACAACATACACACTTAACCCCCTCACCCCAAACACACACGCACGCACGTACACACTCACACCCGACATACACACACCCCGTACATCAAGGCTTATCAGCCAAATATGGCCTGATATCCCTCTGTAACAATAACTTAAGACAAAAACACACCACACAGTTGACGGTTGGCAACAAATTACAAGACTACCTTGACCCAGCACAGTGTGTGTGCACTTACTACTTCAAGAAAGTCAAAAAACCACAACATTGAGAACATCAGCAAGGCTTGCCAACTTTTTCATAACCCAATAAAGGACACTCGCCGTTACAGCAGTAGATAACGTACCAATGAACAAAATTACAATGGGCGAGACTGGTTTTGGTGATCTGTCTATGTAAACTCTTAAATTCTTTTTCTTCTAGACAGCATTTATACAGCATTTTACAACACATTTAGGCCAAATAAGTACCGAAGATGGGGGTGGGGGAGGTGGGGAGTCATAAGAGAGTATCCACATACACTAAAAATAGAGGAGGAGGAGGAGGAGGAGGAGGAGGAGGAGGATAACAACTAAAGATGTTGGATGGGAAAGAAGGAGAGCAGACCACACCAGAGCACCCGTCAACCATCCCCCCCCCTCACGTACCTGTATGTGCTTGCAGTCGTGTCCCCTGGCAGGCAGTGTGATTCTCCGACACGTGATGGGGCACTTGAGGGGGACTTTGATGGCCGTCTGCTCCACCCCGTCCTCTCCGTTCACGGCGTTGTTGGGCGGGACGTTGGAGAAATTCCTTTTGACTGGGGAACGGCGGAAAGGGAACAAATGATTGATAAAAAAACAAACACTTTAGTTTTAGTAGAGTTTTAAAATTGGTTTTTTTTATTTAGAAGAGGTTTTACGACGCTCGCAACTGCATACGGTCTTATGAGCACCAAGGGGTGGATGTCAACAGAGAAGTCTTTACAGGGAATCGGGCTTACTCTGTTCACCTCTCTAGCTTTAACAGCACAAAGTCTGTTTTTAGTAGAGGTTTTACAGCGCTCGCAACTGCATAAGGTCATATGAGCGCCAGAAGATTCGAGGTGTTACAAGAGAGTAACAAATATAAAAATAAAAAGGGGAAATAAGGACGATTGATGTTTCGTAGGTAAGAAGCACACCACACCAGAGCACCCACCAACCACCCACAAAACAAACACTGCGTGACCACACATTTTTCTACATTACTACAAACATTTGAAAAAAACAACTGCTTTTCGCCATCACAGATATGAGGAATATAATAATAAACTTGTATTCTAAAATGGTAAAAAAAAAAAGAGATTTGTTCATGAAAAAAATTGCCCACATTCAATTTATCAGAAGCGGGGAGGGAGAGGGGGATGGATATGCGTTGTTGGTGGCTTTTGTGTGTTTGTGTGTGTGAGTAAATGAAAAAAAACAAAAAACTTTAATGATGCACGGTTTTATCCCCCCCCCCCAAAAAAAAAGTTTCATAAAGTTACTTTTGCAAACACACACACAAAAAAAATCCCAAAGCAAACAATATCTATATGGAATATGGCAACCCCC